ACACCCGACTACAGATTGTGTCTGTTCAAAAAGTCCTTAGAGCACAGGCTTTGAAAGAAGTCCTGAACATACTGTCATATTAAAATCAGGGATCAATTGTAAGGTTTTTTTTAGGAGCTCAGTTTGTGCTTGCCCTGCCAACATCTTCACTGGCACTTTTTTTTTTTTTTTAAATAATATATATATATATATATTCAAAATAAATAGCTAGTGAAGATGTTAGCAATTTATAATATATATACAGTATATGTATATATAATACAGCTTTAATGGTTGCATACACCGCTCCATAAAGGTAGTTGTAAATGCCCATTTGTTTGAAAATCAATAACATTTATTTTAATATTTTAATCAAAATTACCAGTGCTATTACAAATCTAGCTACTCAACTTTACCTTGGAGACTCAATTTAAATAGTTAATTTGCTACAGAAATGTTCATAAAAATGTTCATGTGCATAAAAATGTATGTATACGATTTAGTGACACTGCACTGGCCTGACAGGGCGAATGGCAGTTCTGGCAACCAGCCCCTACGTAGTTAAGCTCCGATTACAGTTTATTTTTGTAATTTTCAGCAACTATTGAAACACATTTGATTGATTTATAGTCCTACACAAGTTAACCCAGTTGAGCTGATTTTGTTGAGCTGAGCTTGATGAATTCGTTCAGATAATTGCCCCCTGGCGCTCTGATCATCTTAATTGAGATGCATCAGAAAAGAGGGCAGATCAGTATGCAAAGCCCCTTGAGTATGAGCTTCTGAATATATGCCCCCCTTTGAGTCTGCCACAGGCAATGCTGCTGACACAGAACTGCTTTATGTGTTGTAGTTACCCACGGTCTGCCCGGGGCGTATTTGTGATAATAATAAACCTGTTTATGAGCAGACTGTTTTCTTACACAATTAGTGTGCAGTTAGCATGCCCACTATACCATACAGGGCTCTGTGTTACATAAACTGGGTGTTGGGGATTAGTATTGTTGTGTAAGGCAATATCTTTGTGAGTGTATGGATTAGACTTACACAACCAGGAATCACACTGAGTCAAGAAATCTCCAGCCTTGATTATTGACTGGCTATTTGAACAACCGTATTTACTTGTGGAAGTGAATGCCAACAGTTTAATCTGTATTGTGTAGATCTTTTTGACAAAAGTAGTGCTAGTGACTTGAGATAAACATGGTTGGAGTGGTTGTAGGTTGATGGAGATTTGTTCTGAATAGTTGCTAGGTGGTTGCTAGGTTGTCGCTAGGGTGTTTTGATTGGACATTTATAGTAAAGAATAGGGATGTGACTAGCCAATAAACGTTACTGCTACTGCTAGTCGACTTAAAAATACTACTTTTTTTGCACATTTAATGTTTTGCTTTATGTTTATAAATTACCATAATTGTAGTTACATTTTAAAATGAACATATTATTTTGATCTGGAGCAGAAAACAAAATCATTTCATTTTAGATAAAATAAATTTAGACAAAATAAATATTATTAATTAAATTTAACAAATTAGAATTGAGTAAGAAGTAGTCAAATTATTCCTTAAAAGTTAACTATTTAAAACGAGTAAAGTTTACACCAAAAAACAGACAGACGTCAAAGATTAATTGAACTCTTTATTTTATATCGCCAACATTGAAGACACCTGATGTTAACAAGCAGAATCACTGAAGGAGAAAACAATCATTTTAAAACAAACCTAAAACAAACACTGATCACCATAATGGTGACTTCAGTTTATGTTTTTTTGGTTGTTTTTGTAGGTTTTACTCATTTTAAATGCTTAACTTAATTTGATTAATTATTACTCAATTCTAATTTGTAACATTTAATTAATAATATTGCTTGTAATCTGTAATCAGATAAAGCATATTCATTTTTACAGTGTAGTTCTCTTTGTGACACACAGAAATGTCCACTTGGAAGATAAGCAAGGTGGATTTTGAAATTCAAAACGTTGCTTCATGTAAAGGTAATAGCTCAGAGCTTGCAATTATTGGATGGCAGGCGTGCTACAAATGTTTAGTGAAGTTTTGTTCACGCTGCATCAACAGAAAACAGCACAGACTGAAAGATTTTAGATTTAACAAACCATGTCATTATTAAAATCATGAAATTAATATTGTCAATCCAGAGCTAGTGTCCACATGGCTGACACGTTTAGCTGTTGTAGTTTATCCATGTTGTGTGCATGAAATAGATGCTGAACACAGTCAAAATGTGCCATCTGAGAAGCTTTAATTGAACTTCTGTTTCGGTCCCTGATTTCGGCCCGGGCACTGACCCTCCAAAATTATTTTGGCCTAAAACTGAAAATAGCTATTTTAGGTAGCTGAAAATTTGGTCTATCTTTGGTATATAAAATGTGGAAAATTTGGCCTAATCTTGAGATATACAAAATTGTAAGAAATAAAGTTGCAATTATTTAAAATGTGGTCACAATTCCAAGAAATAAAGTCCCAACTGTATTCAAATAATAAAATACTGTATTAAGTCACAATTGTAAGAAATCGTAACGCTTAAAAAAAAAATAATTGCAGTTTGTACAGAACAGTATTAAGGCCTTAAAGAGGAGTGACAACCGTTTTAGCTGCAGTGTTTACGTGGCCATTGTGAATCGGCGTCACATTTTTTAGTTGGTTCGCCAAATAGCTAGAACACCCAAGATGCATCGGGACACTACTCAGAGGTATAGACAACTAAGATAAACAACTGGGTTTCAATTGAGGATTTGTGAATGGCCGTGTTTGAGTCGGCACGGGCTGGAATGAGAAACATGCTATTTTGACTGTCATGATATGATGGATAGATTGAGCTGTTTAGTCTAGCGTGGATCCAGGCTGTCTTGCGATAGCTGGCGTTGTTTTCAGTATAGCCTCTCATCTGTCACCTGTCTGGCAGTTGAAAGGGTAAATGACACTGAGCTCTGTCTGACAACAAGCCAAGAGCAGATGAGAGACTGAGCTCGATGCTCCGAACGTTCAAGTCTATACATCAATACTGACATCATGCGGCTGATGCTTGGCGAATGGAGAGGCGTGTTGATCTCCTCTCCAAAATAGAAACTGCTTGTTTCAAAGATTAGTTTTAAATGTCCACCATTCCTGGCTATTGTTAACTTTGTTTTGTCAGGCTTAACTGTGTGTGTGTCTCCGGTCCTTGACGTATGACATAACATCTGAATGGTCTGAGACAATCAAATGCGTTTTAGAATTATTTTTTAGATCTAGTTGTGCAGTCAACACTAGATTGTGTAATTTAATTTGTTAATCGTGGTTTGTTTGGCCTGAAATAATTGATATGTTGAAAACCACTACCACCCCCCCCCCAAAAAAATTATCCTAAATTCATTTAATGCCCAATTTGATGTGTGCTGTGGAGGTGTTATATTCAACCCTAATTGGGCTTTTCCAGGTCTGTGGTCGCTCAGTTTGTGGTTTGTTTGATGTCTGGAAAGTGTTTATCACTGGGCCAGAGACCTCATTTGTTGACTTTCACACCGTGACTAGGCTTACTCAACTGACCACTAAAGCAAATGAGCTGGTCAGCAATGTAATTATGGTGTCAGGGAGTTTGCCTGGAGCCAGCAGTACAACCGTTTTGGATTGAAGACTGAGTGCTTAAACCCCGATCCTGATTAATTGGTGGTTTAACAAAGACAGATTTGTCTTGTTCAGTAATTGACCTTGCCCACTTAAATAGGAATTACAGTACTGAGGGAGTATTTCATCACTACGTACAGTCCTGACATACTTAAGTGTTTAAAATTTATATTTAAATTTGATCCGAAACTGTCAATTATTTTCATGTAATGGCAAATAACTGATAAATGGATACAGCTGTGTCTAAATAAATGTCAAATAAAAAATTAAACATTTTAGTTAAGACTAAAAACAGTGTTTTTTGCCAACATTTGGCACCTTAGCATTAATTTAATATTTAGCAGTATTAAAAAGCGATATTATTTTTGAGTTTTGAATGATGCAGAATTTGATTTCATTTTTTAATGAAATGAACCCCCGGTTTCACAGGCAAGGCTTAAGAAGTCTCCGACAAAAATGCATGTTTAAGCGGTTTTAACGAAGTGCAACTTGCTCTGACATAAAATATGGCACTGCCATTGTTTTGTCTCAAGATGCACTCCGGTAATGTTTTTTTTTTCTAAGGCACGTTTATAAAAGCTAATTGAACTAAGCTTAATCTAAGCCCTGTCTGTGGAACCGGGCTTGTGTGTTTTTCAAGATTAATTTAAGTGTCAGATGATGTCACCATTAGAAAAATGTGCCGATACAATACCAATAATTCTTAATATTTAAAAAACGATATATAAATTTAAATCCAGATTTTTCTTTTATTTTTGAGAGTTTGATTAAAAAATCAATTCTCCCCATAAAAAGCCACGTCCCAAGCACACAATTATAATGTTATCATAATTTAATGTAGCCTATACTTGCGGTTCACATGTTGCACTTAACTGTTTTTACCTTTTTAAAGTGATTAAAATTATATTTCAAACTATTCAAAACCATCATGGTGGGTGGTGACCAGTGTGCATCTGAAGTGTCTCAGCTGAAGGAAATAATCCATGATTTATCGTCTTTAATCAGATAAATCATGCATCTCTAATTAAAAATAATTAAAAGTACTTTTGGTATTTATTAATACACATCTATGTTTACTTCATTGTACTTATGAGATTTGTCTGGAGCTGGCTACTCACCTCTATGTAACAGAAATAGAAACCTAAAGTGCTAACTAACAATACGTCTTGTAACTTGGTGTTTCTACTTGTTAGAACAACAAACTGATTAACCTGATTAACTGATTAATGGGATTTAGCCGTTACGACACATTAGTGAGAATGTGAATTGTACTAAATGATTTGATACAGACTGTTTACCTATTTAATGGAATTTAGCATGTCTCATAAATGATTGTTTATAATTTTATATAGTTTTAATCAACTAATAATTTTCCTCTTTTTTGACTCTACTTTCAGTTTCTCCTGGGAACAGCTCCACCTTATCAAGATTTATAAGATTCTGGGAGCAGTAGAGCAAAAAGCCATCCCTCACTGATTAAACTCAAACACCCGGACCGGTGCCCAACTGTCCTTTTGGGTCCCTGTTTCCTGATTCTTGGACCAAGCTTTGAGATTGTCAATGGAGCAAAGAGACCTTAATCGGACTGCCCGGCCCAAAGGAAACGAGGAGTTCTTCTCCACCGTTACCACCATCAACAGAGCAGACCTCAGTGAGGTGGGTCTCCTCGCCAGTCCAATGAAGAGCCTGCCTTTACCTGGAGAGCAACAGGACCATGAAGAGGACGAAGACCTTGGTCTGGGGAAGGACATGGATGTCACTTCCAATGCGGACAGTGAGAGGTGGGGGCAGGGAGATGGGCTGGAGGAGCAGGAATTCTCCATCAAGGAGGCCAGTTTCTCCGAAGGCAGCTTGAAGTTGAAGATCCAAACGACCAAGCGGGCCAAGAAACCTCCAAAGAACCTGGAGAACTACATCTGTCCTCCTGAGATCCGCATCACCATCAAGCAGCCAGGAGAGCAGAAGACCGCCAAGCAAGCCAAGAGTGGCAAGGGAGGGAAAGAGGAAGATAAAGGACCACCCAGAAAAAGGGTTAGTGTTACCGCCACTCTTCAGAAATGCTGTTGTTTTCTTGTCATGTGATCACTTTGTTGTGTTGTGATATGGTATTACAGCCATAGCCAGTATGGACCTTAGTCAGATTAGATGCGATATTGAATTTGACTGCAGTGTAATCGAGCCATGGTCAGCTGATAAAATATAAAAGAATGTCTTTCCTATCGAAGCCTCTTTAGATATTTTTTCTTTTGCGTTTTTTCATTAACAAAATATTTATTTTGTGAATATGAATACCTTTTGATTTCATCTCACAATTCCGAGAAAGAAAGTGTGAATTAGGGATGCACAAAATATCGGCCACCATAACGGCATTGGCCGATATATGTCCATTTTTAATATTATCATTATGGGCTCAATAAGAAAGTTGTGCAATATATTAAAACCGATAAATAATGGATTATTTCCTTCAGCTAAGACACTTCAGATGCGCACTGTTTGCCATGATGGTTTTGATATGCTTGAAATATGATTGGAATCACTTAAACATATTAAGTGCAATAGGCTGTCATGTAGGCTCCATAAAATTATGAGAACATTATAATTGTGGTCATCATGAGACATGGACATTTAATGGTGAGACTTTTGTATTTTTAATCAAGCTCTCAATAATGATAATTTTTTTTAAAAAAATTGGATTTCGATTTATCGAAATTTATCCATTTAAGAATTCTCCGTATCGGCCAAAATGCTCATATCGGTGCATCCCAAGTGTGAATTGCAAAATATAAGCTTGCAATTCTGACAAAGAATTCTCAATTATTTTTTTCTCAGAATTGTAAGATAAAAAGCAGCAATTACCCTTTACTTCCATGGCAGAAACAGGCTTCCGAGGTGGACCAAATAAAAAAATATTCGTAAAGAATGCATTATGAAAAAATAGATGCAACCTATGACAGTACGACATATTTAGAAAAACAAATTTCTGTATAAATCATTTGTTAGTTGAAATTCTTGTGTAAATTTGCAAATGTTACATCCCTTTGTAGGAATTGTACTTAAGTTCTGTCTCTCCCATCTTTGTTTGTGTCAAATTAATTATGACATCTGACTAAGGTTCTTAAAGCTGCAGTCCGGCTTGTTTTCGCATGGGCCCATTGCAGTCTCTTTTGTTCTGTAGCCACTCCGAAGTCCGAACAAAGTCTTTTGCATTTTACAGCGGGTGAATCTTTTGAATCGTTTGATTCAAACTTTCTGGATCCGCCATCAAATTGATAAGTTTAATTAAATCAAGTGCGATGAGAAAAGGCTATAAATGTCCACCTACAGCATCCTCACACGCAATATAGCTTATATGAGCCAAGACTCTTCTTTATAGATGTGACGTAATGACTCAATATAACTTATACTAGCCGAGACTCCATATTTTTGTGTACAGATGTGACGTAATAACGCAAAGACATGCTTGAATCTCCTGTGGAAATCTACCAGTATCACTAGGATTAAAAACATTATTACACGCTGACGCTTACCACTTTGAATTGAGCTACGTCAAGCAGAGAGTTTTGAACACTGGCTGGTATTTTCTCAAATATGTATTTTGGAAAATGTTTAATCCCCCAAAATAGCTACAGACGGCAGCTTTAAGCTAGCTACTATAATAACTTACCACTTAGACATTATCATGCCAATTACATCTTCACAGCTCATATTCTCAATTTTGTGAACGTTGCATTTGACATGTCCTTTTCATTGAACAATCCACATGGTATTTGAAGTCTGTGCTCTTCTCTTTAAAAAAGAAAAATCACATTTGTGCTGGGCTTAGATAATACAATTGTATTTTCTGGGCTTTCGGCTTTTTGGCTACTTGTCAAATGAAGTGTTTCTAGCGTGTGCCATAGAGTAATGTAACAGCTAGAAGTCATTAACCTTTTGTTGCATTTAGACTCGGCGAGTTCATTGACTTGTGTGTAATCCAGATATCTTTAAGTGTAAAGGGCCTTTATTGGATATTTGAGACTCTTTTATATTTGGGATAAGAGAATTATATGAGTAGAAGGATTTTTGGACATGGTACCATGGTAATTTCATGGGTTTTTTTCAGCATGCTTCATCGTACAGTAGTACACAGCTATTCTTTGAAGTCTTTTAGAGTACCATGTAAATACTAGGAATGTACTCAACTACTGTTTTTAAATTCAACTAGTTGTGACTCCTTAGGCCACAAGGTAGACCTGTATAATTAGGCTGGTTTCGAGTTGTTAATAATAGAGAAGTTGGGTTAGTTCACCCAAAACTATTTTATTTCTTTCATTTTGCTCCAAACCCATACGGCTTTCATTCATTTTTGAACCATAAATGAAAATATTTTAACGAAACCTGAGAGATTTCTGTCTCTCCACTGAAAGTCCATGACTGAATGCATTTTCATTTTTGGATGAGCTAATAATTTATTACAAGTAAAATAAATCCAATATGTCTGTCTGTGGAGAACGAGTATAGCTGCAGTGCATACATTCAGAAAATTGTGCAAAACATAGCATGTTGCCAGTGTGACATAGCCTAGAAATCTAGACGCTCCCTAGTGGCAGCAAATTTTATTTTGCAGCCAGGGTGGTCTAGCAACTCTCCGTCGGCTTTCGAGCTGGAAAAAACAAATTCTAGTCAGGCGAATCGCATTGTGTATAGAGTCGGCGGACAGGTTTAACATAATGACGACAGAGTTGCGATGGTTCCCTGCTACTTGAAAACATGAATGACAAGAATGGCTGCTGCTGCTGCTGGCGAACAACGGTCTTTCGAATCAGCTTTGGCCGCGACTCTGTACGACTTGGAGTTAAACTTGTCTTTGAGAAAAGAACAAAGAAAGGCACTTAAGTCCTTCTTAAAAAGGAGATGTGTTTGTAGTTTTGCCGACCAGATACGGCAAAAGTTTAATCTATCAACTAGCTCCGCTGGTGGGAAAACGCTCTGGTTGGCTGTAGCGCTATCCTATTGCATGCAAGGGGAATTTGAAAGACAACCGTTTATCCCACCCCTCGAGTTGAGCTCTGCCAATGGTGAGTTCTCAGACCCAACATCTTGATGTGGGTCTGGCTTGCCAGGCTAAGTGTGACATATCCTAAGTAAAATACATAGTGAACACATAGTATGTGAAAATGGCAATGATTCAGTACCATGGTGTTTATCGGATGTTTGATACCATCAGTGTACCGTGATCCTGCTACTTGTTTTAAGGAGAGCTTTCTGCCAAATTTTGTGAGTTCATGAAAATGTGATGCTCTAAAATGGCTCCTTTCAGAAAACACTCTCAGCTCACCACAGCGTTCTCCATCAAGTTTTTAAAACAGATATGTTGCATTTTCCCCGTCTTCGCAGAAGAATGAAGGATTGTGGGAGAAAATGGGAGGAGAGGCTTGTGATCCCACAGCCAGAGTCTGTAATTTGACCATAATTAGGGAGAAAAAATCTGTGCTTACTGAATCAGAGAAGGAACTGCCAGCATCAGCATCTTCCAGCAAACGCACGCAGGCTCAAATTGATTGTTTCGTGTGGAATCTCTGGTGTTGAAACGCACTCATATCTTTCAATCTTTACAGTAATCTCTCAGGGTATGAATTATTTGGACTGTAATGGAAGAGCCATCCTGCTGTTTCGTGTGATGTGCATTTAAAAGCCCATCCACGTCTGCCAAACGCATTTGACTTGATCCCAGCAATTGATGGTTTGATTATTGGCCTTGAATTTTGTATGTGGCTGCATGTTATCTGATTTCCCCTGGGAGTTCTCTTCGCCTGGAGAGGAAGGACATTGTTGCCACAAAGCCAAAGCCATGGGTCTCGAATTTCTCTTATTTTCGGGCTGGGAAACTTAGCCTTCGTCCACCCAACAGAGATGAAATTTTCTAAAGCGCCAGATACACACAGCTGAGAGGGTGATGGAGAAATCAATGGAAAACCAAGAAAGGCTCAAAGAGCAACAGGGAAGTGAGGCGGGAAGCCTGGAGTGCAGCTGTCTCTTTCTGGCAATCTCCACATTGACCAAAGACAGAGGGTCAAAAGGGGCAGAAGGAAGAACAGAAGAGGTGGCCTCACTCCACCGTCTAAAGTGTAGCCGTGTCTATAGAAAACCGCTCCAAAGAGGCAAAGAAAAGTGACCGCCCATCCCCCAAACGCACACTACAGATGGAATCCCATTCAATTCGAGAAGGGACAGTGCCACAAACTCCTCATTTAGAGCCTCCAAATCCCATTCTGTCCTTGCCGTTTGGAGCTTATAGGCGTCATGCCCAGCACCTCTTCTCATCTCTCGGTTACAAGCAGCGTGGGGTCAGGGGTTAGTGCGTAATTGAAACCGCCACGGACTCGCTGAGAATAGGGCTTACATCAGCCCACTCGGACCGCGACAGCTGCTCGCTGCGTCTTCCATTCGTAGCAACAACCTTTCCCCCCCTGCTAGTGTAATCAGAACGCCAGGGCAATGGCAGTTTAGACAAACTGGCACTCTGATGAATTAACTCGAGCTCCTCACATGGATTAGACGTCCTCTTCCACTTACTCCACTTGATGACCTGTTTTGCACTTTAAGTGTTGTCGTGGGCTGCGGTGCTGGAAAATTAGTTTAATGCAGCAGAATTTTTCTGCACCCACACAATAGTGTGTGACCACACAGCCAGAAATAGATCGCAGAGCTTTCTTGCTGGCATTGTAAAAGCAAATAGTCTGGATGTGCAATTAGGCGGTCTGAATATGCAGAGGTCAGGACACGTCGTGTTTGGCATCTCCATTAAGCCTTAACCCATTGGTTTCACAAATGGCGCCTATTATTTATTTTTCCTTTTTAACAAACTGTGAAGAAAAACATTCAGTTTGAATTAACATTTCTTTCTTAAAATACTCTGAAGAAATGTAAAAGGGTAGTGCAAATGTTTGTTTTTTTGTATTTCGCTTTTTTCCTGTAAATTTTCTTCTCTGGGATTTCAAAAAAGTCCTCAAAGAGTTCCAAACCATGAATTAACAATTATACGTCCTATA